TGCTGACCACTAGACTAGGTTGTATTTCTATGCTGCTGGCACTTTTTTTTTTTAAATCAAAATATCCATTCTATTTTATTGTTGTTTTCAGTGTTAGATACTGAACTCCAAGAGATCAGGTGCTAGGCTGAATCCTCATTGCCAGGACCATAGAGGTACTCATAAATATTAGGTGCATGATTACATCATGATGGGCATTCAGAAAGAAATGAAAGTCCCATTTCCTAAACTCTTTTATAATCTGTTTATATGCAAATATTTCATTATATTCTCCTCAGAACTCTCTTAAGTCCCTTATTTCCTGCAGGACATTTTAACACTCAGGGTTACTTAGCTTTCTGAGGCTTTATTGTCAGCAGCAGTAACCAGCTCTGGGTAGCTTAGACAGGAAAGAAAGTATTAAAGGAGGATTGGGTAACTCCCACACAAAATGGATGGGAGTGTAGAGAATCAGGTTTGAAGGCAAGTGAGAAGTCAGGGAGTTTTGAAAGTATGAACAGTCTGATGCAGATGCCACAGCTGCTGTTGAATTTTTCTTGCAAGACCACTGCTGTGACTGCTCATTTAATCTCACCCACACTTGGTTTCCCAGGATTCACTGGTTTATGTGGGAGGGTCTGATTGCTGAGTCTAGCTCTTGTACCTTTACACTGGCTACCCTGGGTTTATGGAGAGGAAGAACCCCTCTCTCCCTTGGTCTGAAATGGGAGGTGGAGCCTTGCGTCCTTCCAAAACTCACAATGGACAGTTTCACAAAACTTGGAATTGTAAATGCAAGGCAGCTTAACAACAATAACAACAAAAGAAGTTACAATGATCCATCAGAGGTTTCTCTTCATTCTTATAATCTGAAACTCCCGAGTTTATATGTCAGAAAGGACATGTCCATTTCATGAAAGGGAATAGATGTTGACAACAGGCACGGCTGGTTCAAACTTTTGCTAGAATTACTAGGCTGGATGATCTGGGAATATTGCTAGATGACAGTTTCCTAGTTTAAGAAAAATAAAAACAAAGTTTGCCAGGGTAATTTTATTTTTAAAATGAGATGATGTGTATTAAGTGCTTATAATGCCTAGCACTTAGTATACATTCAATAAACAGTAGTCAGTGAAATACAGTATATAATTTTGGCTCCAGTTTACCTTCTTAGCTGTCTCATTTCTCCTTCCGACATGAAAACTCTCCATAAATCCAAAATGTTTATGCTGTTGTTCTTAAATATGCCTCGTGCTTTCCATCTCTTTCTTCTCCATATGCCACCTCTTTTTCTTCCGTCTTTCTTTTATGACCCTGTTCAAATCTTTGCTGCTTCTCAGTAAGAAAGAAGAAGTACTGGCCCATCTATTTATTATTGCTCTATGCCATCCAGTTTGGCACTTAGCATTTTATGGTAGTTTTCTTGGTATTTATATGTTATCTTTGATAAAGTAGTCTGCTAGAGGGCAAATGGGGCTATTTCTGGGGAAAAAACAGTTTAGTAGAAGGAACGTAAGGCCTAGAGTCAGAAGTCTTTGGTTTCAGCCTAGCGCTAGCTAGGACTTTGGACAAGTTTCTGAATGTGTTCTTTTTATATAAAATGGAGATAACATTATATGATTTTGGTCAGGGTCAGATGAAATATGTGTGTGAAGGAAAAAGCTGTGTAAACTGTAACGTATAATTGCTTTTGTATGTATCTTGTACCTAATGTCATTGCCTTACACATAGGCTTAATATATTAATGATAATGATTTTTTTAAACAGTCCTTTCAGATTTTCATGGCATCAAGAGACATGTATTTTTTTTGTACATTTAAAAAAGTTGTAATCGGATTGTGATGAGAATGTTATAGCTATCTTTGATTTTGTTCATGTGTAATATTCAGTGATTACTCTTGGTTCCAGTAAAATGTTGTATTGTTTTATTATACTGTTGCGTAATTTATTAGATTTCAAATTCCATCAGATTATTTTTGTTCAGTTAAATAAAGAATATATTTCTTTGCTGAATCACAGCTGATGAGTTCTCTTGAAGATTTTGCCCTAGAAACTAATTCTAAAGAGAGTGATTTGAGAGGCTTGTGTTCAAAAGTGTACGATATGGGAACAGGTTCAGCTGGCAACTTTTTTTAAATGTTTAGATTAGTCTTAGACGGAGAAAATGTACAGAGATTTTAAAATATAGTTCGTTTTTCTGACTGGTCTTTTCTTTCATCTCTCCAACTTCCTAAAAGTTGGTATTTTAGTGGCAAATTATTTATGAATAGGCCCCGGATACATAGCTGTGGCCTAACAGGTCTAGGGAAAGATTACATAGGCTTTGCCTCTCTTCATTTAGGAGACTTGTGATTTTATTTTATTTGTTTTAGTTATATGACTAGCTCTTGTTAGATTTTGCAGTGAAAGAAAATTTTCTCTGAACAATTTCATCGGTAAACAAATAAGCTTTGATGGAAAGTCTTTCCACAGGAGGTTATATTGGAATTTGACAAAACCAAGTTTTGTTAAGCAAATGTATGATTTTTAAAAAGCAACTAAATGTTACACCTTACCAAGGAGGATATACAGTGTCTTAATCAGCTGGGTGATACCTTCCATTGGGTGCATTAAGCAACCAACATTTATTTCTTGTAATTCTGGAGCTGGGAAGTCCAAGGTGAAGGTACTGGTAGATTCAGCTCCTCATGAGGGCCCTTTACAGGCTTGTAGATGGCTGCCTTCTTCCTTTGTCCTCAGATGATAGAGACTGAGAGATTGAGAGGTCTTTTTTCCTCTTCTCGCAAGCACACCAATCCCATCATAGGGGCTCCACCATCATGACCTCACCTAAATCTGATTACCTCCCAAAGGCTCCTTCTCTAAATACCATTATACTGGGGGTTAGAGCTTCAACACAGGACATTTGAGGGGTGACAAACATTCAGTTCATAACATTCAGGTGGCAAGTAAGCATATAAAAAAGCTCAACATCATATATCAATAGAGAATTGTAAGTTGCAACAACAATGACATGTTACCACATACCAGTGGAATGGTGAAAATGCAAAACTGACACCAACAAATGCTGTGGAGCAACAGGAATTATGATGGAATGCAAAATGGTACAGCTCCTTTGGAAGTCAATTCGGCAGTTTCTTACAAAAGGAAACATACTCTTACTATATGACCCAGCAATCGCACACCTTGTGTTTACCTAAGTGGGCTGAAAACATGTCCACACAAAACCTGCACATGGATGTTTAAAAGCTTTATTCATAATTTTGATAACTTGGAAGCAACCAAGATATCCTTTAGTAGATGTACAAATCAATAAACTGTCGCACATCTAGACAGTGGGTATTATTTATTGCTAAAAATAAATGAACTATAAACCCATGAAAAGATATATGATTTCATATATAACATTGTGGAAAAGACAAAACTATAGAGACAGTAAAAAGATCAGTCCTTTCCAGGGGTTAGCAGGGAGAGGGATAAATAGAGTACAGAATTTTTTTTTTTTTTTAGGGCAGAGACTATTCTGTATGATAATGAAATGGTGGATACTCATTATACATTGTCAAAATCCATAGAATATACACCAAGTGTGAACCGTAATGTGAACTGTGGGCTTTGGATGATGGTGATGTGTCAGTGTAGGTTCGTCAGTTCTAGCAATGTACCACTGTGGTTTGAGATGTTGATAGTGGGGGAAGTTTTATGTGTGTCAGAGGCCGAGGGTATATAGGAACTCTGTACTTGGTTCAATTTTGCTGTGAACCTTAAACTAGAAAAAGTAGTCTATTTAAAAATGTTTATAGCGGTGGGGAAAAAAAAGGCTTTCAATTTAGCCATCAGGCCAGATCTTCTGACATCAACCAGTATACTGCAATTCAAATCTGGCACTAACCACCCTGAATTAGTGTCAGATTCCACAGTTTGAAGGGCATGGTCCTCAACAAGACCGTCCTCCACTTCAGACACCAGCTGCAAGTCAAGTTCCCAGGCCACCCTAGACTACTTGTCAACTGGCTCCAAATCCAGGGGGTTCCCAGACCCTTCTCACTACCTCTCCATAAGATTTCCCTTACTTCAGATGCCATTTGCAAGTTCAGGGATCTCCAGGTCACCCATATTTCTGACCAACTGACTATCTTTTCAGAGGGGTTCCTAGAAGACACATATAGCAATGTCTAGAGCGTCCTGAATGCAGAGCTTTTAGCCCTCTCCCTGTATACTTAGAGCACATAACCCTCCCAGCACATCAGTGGATCACCAACCAGAAAGCTGTCCTTCACTTCAGTGTCTAGAGTTTCTTTTGGGACTTCATGATGTAGGCTTGATTGATTGAACATTGTCTAATTGATTGAACTAAATTTTTAGCCCCACTTTCCTCCTAAGAGGTTGGGCTGGGCCAAAGGCCCCTAATCACACAATAAGTCTTTCTGGTGACTAGCTGCTATTTTGAGCCATCTTGTTAATAGAAACCCTGGTGTGAATCAAGGGGCTTATGAATAACAAGATACTTTTTATCACCTGGGAAATTCCAAGCATGAAGCTGCTTGCCAGGAACCCAAGACAGACAAATTCAAGACCAGGTGTTGGAATAGTAGCTCTTGATAACCTAATTTTTTCAAAAGTGTATCATGGAAACCTGAGGTGGCTGAGAAGTATTTAAGATTGAAAGATTTAAGAGGAAAAGCTGATTTATCAATCTCTGTTAATGTAGTATTTTAATAGTTTAGATGTTTTAGCTATTAATATTTATCATGCAGTTTTGAATTTTATATATATAAATATATTTCTTTGATAAAAAGAAGAGAAGACTACTTGGAAAGATCAGCCAGTAGAACAACAAAGGACCCTTTTCAGTTTTTACTGACTCACACTGTTAAAACAAATGACCTTAAAAACAGTTTTTGTCTGGGCTCTAGGTTGCTTCATTGGACTTAATTTTTCTTTTAATAGCAAGTTATTTCAGAGTGTTTTAGATATCCACTTTCTCTAAGGAAGTGCTTAGTTATATTTTTCTCTTGCAGATTGATTATACCGGAACAGAGCCTTCCAGTCCCTGCAATAAATGTTTATCTCCGGATGTGACACCTTGCATTTGTACCATCAACTTCACACTGGAAAAGTCATTTGAGGTCTGTGTTTCCAAGTAATGTTCTAGAAAAGCCGTGCTTTAAAAAATACTGGTATGGTCCTAAATGTCTTTTACTCTAGGTATTTTCTTTTTATAGAGAAGTCACTTTAATTTGCTGGAGTTCATAGGCTTTTGAGGGAGATTGTTTTATATGTTTGGCTGTTGGACTTTGCTGTCTGTTAATTAAATATGTTTATTTGAATGTTTTATTTTAGTTAGTACTTTGTAGACAAAATTTAAGACCTTGCATTTTTTTCCTTTTACTAGATAATTTTGAATGTACAAATAAATTTTATATCAAGTTATATATACTTGTATTTTCAAAATTATTGCTCAAATAGTTTTGCATACTTAAAATACTAAAGCAAGCTTTACTTCAGTTAATAAATACTAATTCTCCCATTACTTAATTGAATTATTTTTATGATACATGAAGCATTATAAAAAATGCAAACACTTATTAAAACCTTATCGATCATTTATATTTTTATAAGTAGTTAGAAATCCATCTGTTTGCATTTACACTGATCTGCCATTCTAAGCACATGCCAAAGGACATAGACGTTCAAAAAAGGCATGAAAAGACCTCTTTTACTCTCCTGTTCCTGAAAATTGAGCTTAAAATAATTATTCTTTAGAGAGCAAAACTGCATTAATACATGTCAACTTTTTAGATTTTCTGCACATAAGATTTTCTAAAGTGATGACGTTAATAGTCCCTAGTAGTTGGTTGCCATCTAGTGGTTATAGATGCTCTTGCGCTGAGATAAAGGACAGGATAATGCTGCCTTTGAATAAAACATGAAAACAAATTTGGTAGAAGGCAAATATAATTATTTAACTTGGTTTCAGCAGAGATTAGATATTTAAAGCATCTTTACAAGTCCATGATTTCTCAATGTGATGGTCATACAATAAAAATGCAATAAGTTGGCTGGGCTTGGTGGTGGCTCATGCCAGCACTTTCAGAGGCAGAGGTGGGCGGATCACCTGAGGTTAGGAGTTTGAGACCAGCCTGGCCAACATGTTGAAACCTTGTCTCTACTAAAAATGTAAAAATTAGCCAGACATGGTGGCAGGCGCCTCTAATTCCAGCTACTTGGGAGGCTGAGGCAAGAAAATCGCTTGAACCTGATTCAAGTGGAAAGATTGCACCATTGCACTCCAGCCTGGACAAAAGCGACATTTCATCTCAAAAACAACAACAACAACAGCAACAACAACAACAACAACAAAAAGATGCAATAACTTCTGCTTTTGTCAGAACAGTCAGAATTGAGGAAAGGGGAGACTAGTAGTGATAGAGAAGCTCCATTAGTTTTCTCTCCCATTCAAAAAACACTTCAGAACTTGTTTTTTGCAAAGACAGTCAACCTCAAATTCATTCTCTTGTGAATTGTGTGTTTCTTCATAAGCTCCCATGTTGCATTGGACTAAACTGTTTTCGGGGAATTTCAGTTAGGTTATTTTGTCTCAGTATTCATTCAAAGAATCTTTTTTTTGGTTAACAATTTACTGTGCTGAATCTTGAGGTAATACTTCCTTTTAAAAAAGAATATTCATTGCCTCCATTTCTGTGATGTAACTTTGATATTCCCTCCCTTCCACAAAAAGGTTTCTATGTAAATATTTTCTTTATATAGAAATGGGAAAATTTGCATGGTTTGACATTGAAAGTCAAGCATTAAATAAATGATAGTGTATATGAAAACAGCAAATCAAATGAAGTATACTTATAATGTTACTGAATTACTTTTAATTAAGGATAAGAATATAGAAAATAGAGGTAGCAACCAGAAAGGAGAAAATAGCTTAATGTATGCTACTTCTAAAAATGTTAATCATTTAAGATGGCTTCTTAGCATCTTCTAAATACTGTAATGTATACACTTCTTTCCCAGGATATTTTAATGTTGGCTCTGTTAAATATATCGAAGTACCTTTCTTGATTACTATGAAGTGGCTCATTATCATAGAAAGTCTACTAATTAGTAGTTTATTAACTCATAATATTACATAGTGTCCTATTGAGGAATTTATTATATCCCAATTCAAGTTCAGAATTCACTTGTACAAAAAAATGAAAGTTTCAGCTGGATGTTGTACTAAAAGCCTGTAATGCACACCTCCCAGCTTTTAGGGACAGAGGCAAGAGAATAGCTCCAGCTGGGGAATTCAGGGCCAGCCTGGGCAACATAGCAAGACTCCAGTCTTTGGGGGAAAAAAACCTAGTTTGACCATTATCTCTCTGAGAAGTTGATACTAACTAGGTGAAGATCAGTTTGAATTAGAGAAAATTTTAAATTGAAGGTAGCTCAAAGTAGGCTAATAGAGTCCTTGAAGATTCTTTCTAAATGTAAATAGTACTTCTTTGACATCTTTAAGGATAGTTTTAAAGTTTACTTGTGGATTTTTGTAACATACTTTCTTTGATCTTATTTGTTGTTTTGCCATTTTAGATTGCTAAGTACTGGTAGAATTTACCCCCCACTACCTATCACAAATTATAAACTAATAAAGTTCAAATTACATAGCTTTGATGTACACATGCAATACATTTATACAGAAGTTTTTACATGAAATTTTTTTCCTGTTTCTCTAGGGCAATGTGTTTATGTATTATGGACTGTCTAATTTCTATCAAAACCATCGTCGTTATGTGAAATCACGAGATGATAGTCAATTGAATGGAGATTCTAGTGCTTTGCTTGTAAGTAAAATGATAAATATTAAAATATGGTATCTATAAAATAAGAATATGTAGTATCTATTCAGTTAGAATTGTTTAGGATGAAATTAAAGTGCTGTAATTTATAGTTTGTATAGTGAGGATTTTTAGTTAAAGTATTTTTCCTGGAATTTGCACAGATACACTGATGCCCAGCCTGGTTTGGAAATCTGTGGACTAGGGGATCTTAGTTTCTTTACTGTTGTTCAGTTTTCCGTAGTAATGGCTAATGCCTAAGTTTTTTCAGTGGCGGGATGGGGGACGGCAGCTCACTTCGTCTTGAAGGCTGGAGCACAGTGGCATGATCTTGACTCACTGCTACCTCTACCTCCCAGATTCAAATGATTCTCCTGCCTCAGCCTCCTGAGTAGCTGGGATACCAGTCATGCACCACCATGCCTGGCTAATTTTTGTATTTTCAGTAGAGACAGAGTTTGCCCTGTTGGCCTGGTTGGTCTCAATCTCTGGACCTCAGGTAATCCACCTGCCTCTGCTCCCAAAGTGCTGGGATTACAGGTGTGAGCCACCACACCCAGCCCTAAGTATTTTATGTTACTGTTGCCAATGCAGCAAACATTCGGAGGCCCAGAGCAATTTAGGATTTCTTAGAATTGGTGAATCTCTTAGAATACAATTTAGGACTCTATTGTGAGCAGCATGGGTCTGGTAAGTGTAAAATATAACTGTTCTAGGTTATCCTAATTGGTTCTATTGCTGATCATCAGTTCCTGATGTTGGAAATAAGAGCTTGGAGTCACAAAGGAAACGAGCACTTAGGCAAAAAGTTTGTCATCAAGGCAATTTACTTCTGCAGAAGGGTGCTCCCTGCATCAGTCATGATGTCAAGAGCACATTGAACAAAGGAGGGAAAGGGTTTTTATCACTAACACAGCTGGTCCTTGCTTCTGTGTCTTATACCCGTTCTGATGCGGTCAGACTGCACAATCTAAACTAACCCCAATTGGCTTTAATAAACAGAGGAGGGGTGTGGGTTACAGTGGTGGGAAGGGCCATTGTGGCGAGACGGGTAGTTTATAGAGTAGGTAACTAGGAGCAGGAAAGTACAAGGAAGTTGATCTTAAGAACAAAGAACAAGCAAGTTAACAAGCCAGATATATGAAGAGAAACTTACTGTATCTGACACTGATTCATGGGATTTTAAGCAATACCAGTCTCCTTAAAGATTCCTTGGTATACACAGGGTTATGGTTAGGCCTATGATATTTTGAATCTATGTGGGGTTTATTCCATAGGATCCAGTTGTTAGTGCTAAAATCCAGAGAAGTTGATGTACTGTGAGATATACCGAGTTTCTAAACCTTACCGAATGTGTATGTTGGGATTATAGATTTTGTGTATTCCAAAACCCCAGAAACCGTGGCTGATTTACAGTTATTTTATTTATATACGTGCTCTCTTCATTGAGGGTAAAGGAAACTGAAACTGATTGTTTTCTTGTAAGCTGTAAGCCAGGATTTTAGGCCAGACCAGGAATTGATCAACTTTTTCTATAAAGGGCCAGGCGTTATGTGTAAGACCCTTTACAATCTGGCATCAGCTTCATTATCTTATATACTATGTTTAATATATTAAACAAGGCCTGGCTGCCTTGGGCCTTGTTTGCTGCTCCCTAACCATGCCTTGTAACACAAGTAATCTGCTCATCTTGCCATTTAGCATTTCGTTTGCTTAGAATGTCATTTTTACTCTTTCACTGGAGGTCTTGTCTTCCTTCTTAAGGCCTGCTGCTTTTCTGAATGCCCTTCGATGGAAAAATATGCTTCTTTACATATTTATTTCATTTGGTTTTTGTTCCAAGTCACTATCACTTTTTGCTTTGATAAACAAATTGTGTCTCACATCATCCAGTCCTGCCCCTTCTTTCCAGGCCATTCTCCTCATAGCAGCTGTAGTGATGTTTTTAAAAAGTATAAATATCATTTCCCTACCTAAAATCTTTCAGGGGTCATATTAGCACTTGGAGTAAAATCTCCAAGTGATCTGAGCTATGTGTAATCCTGTAGTATCATCACATATCATCCTCCCTCTTGGCCTGCTCCAGCTACATTCACCATTACCTTCACAGAAATAAGTTCTTTAGTGGCATGTGCTGTTTTCTTTGCTTACAACTCTCTTATGTCTTCTTTCATGTGGCTGGCTCCTGCTCTTTTTATATGTCTTAACTTAAATGATACCTACTCCATTGTCAAGCATAGATTGTAAAGCAGCTCCTCCTGTTCTCTTTCCATTAAATACTCACACAACTTCATAACACTTATTGTAATTTGTAATTGCATGTTTGCTTATCTGTTGTCTTTCTTTCCAGCTATACTGTAAGCTCATGAACTCTGGGAACATGACTTTTTAAAATCACTATTTACCAAGTGCCTGGCTAGTGCTTGCACATGGAAGGCATATAATAAATATTTGCTGAATGAATATAGACATATTCATCATGGCTCTTACTTCGTATGATAGTTGGTTTCATAAGGATCTGCTTTCTCTATATATTTGGAGTTGCTTAAAAGTAGGGATGTATTATTTTCATTTTTCTGTTTTTAACACCTAGTATGGTACATGCTACATATTAGGTACTCATCAAATAGCTTTTTTTTTTTTTGAGACAGGGTTGACTTTGTCACCCAGCTGGAGTGCAATGACATGATCTCCCCTCACTGCAACCCTTGCCTCTTGGACTCAAGCAAACCACCCACCTCAGCCTCCCAAGTAGTTGAGACTAAAGGTGCACGCCACCATGCCCAGCTAATTTTTTGTATTCTTGTAGAGATGGGGTTTCACATGTTGCCCAGGCTGATCTTGAACACCTGGACTCAAGGGATCCTCCTGCCTTGGCCTCCCAAAGTGCTGGAATTACAGGCATGAGCCACTGCACCCGGCCCACATCAAATGGCTTTTGTAAGCCAATTAATGCAAAGTACCTAGCATTGTTTAGTTCAGTATCTGACACATAGGTGGCAAATAATATTTTCCATTTTTTTAAAACTTCCTTAAGAATTTAGTGGCTGGCAGATATATTTGCCATTCATAGCTTTATCAATACAGATGGAGTAGGGAACAAAAAGCTGAAAAGTCAAATATTGAAGAGACTATGAGATACCTGCCACAGGCTTCCTTAGCTTATCTTCCTTTCTTATCTTTTCCATTGACATGAGTGCTTTTTTCCAGTGCAGACGTGGAGAATACAGATACAAGTGAAGGTTAGCTGGTAATGAAGTAGTTCTAAGAGGTCTAATTAGGGTCTCCTTAATTTCAAATTGAGATTGTCTTGGTAAGTTTATGTGTTCTGAGACATTGCTTAATGTGGCAGAAGGTCCTAGCTCAGACACTTAACCTCAGACTTGATACCATCTCTAGTTGAATCCCATAACTGCCACATCTCTTTGAGATCCTTAGTAGGGACTAAGTCAAAACCAAATCTGGAGCACAGGCAAATGTTCTGCCTTGTCAGCACTTTTGTTTTTCGTGTGTAATTTAAAGATCAGTATTTTCTAGGAATCTGCACTAGACTCCTTCCTTCCTTTCTTATATATAGGATTTAACCCCACATCACAACATTTGAGTTTGTAAGGTTGGACAGGTTTATTTTGGGAGGCCCAGCTGAATGAAAGGAATTGTCCAAGGAGCTAGACCCTCTAGTCTCTTTAGTTCCCATTTAAGATTTTCTTTGTTATATCACACTGGATTGGCAATAGACCATTTCTTAATTTTTCTTGGGCGGAAAATCCTTTGTGGTAATGTTTCTGTGATAAGAAAATCAAAAAGATGTTTATTTGATACATGTGTATATGACAAAGCATATGCAAGTAAAGGTTATATTAAAAAGGTAAGACGGTAATGTTAAGAATACATTTTGAATATTTAAATGTGGGGTTATTTATAGCCTACTTACATTGCAGACCTATGTATTACAAGTGAGAAAAATAAAGGTGTTGAATTCTTAATCAGTAATTTAGGGATAGCTTATAGTTCTCCTAGAGGTCTGGATAATAATTTCTCTCCTCTTTTCCTTCTAAAAACCAGAATCCCAGTAAGGAATGTGAGCCTTATCGAAGAAATGAAGACAAACCAATTGCTCCTTGTGGAGCTATTGCCAACAGCATGTTTAATGGTATGATATAGATACAAATATAGACATATATAATTAGGACAGTTTGCATAATTTCATTACAGATTTGATAATTTAGTAAACACGAATAAAATTGAGAAACCCAAACATTTAAGAGTATTGAATGGGGTATTATAATACTTTGTGATTTTGTTTTGAGCATACTTATATTTTAGGATGGATTTCTGTCTCTGAGAAGAAAGAAGCAGAAACATTCTCCTAATCTTCATATTTCATATAACTTTAAGTAAAAGTCAGGCTAACCTTCCTACTGACTTTATTTTTATCATTGAAAAGGAGCTATAGTTGATCATTTAGAGCAGCACTCTCTGATAGAAATATAATGTGAGCTGTAAATGAAAGTCCTGTAGGTAATTTTAAATTTTCTAATAGTCATATTTGAAACTGTGTAAAGAAACAAGTGAAATTAATTTTAGTAATACATCTTAGTAATACACAGTATATCCAAGGTATTACCATTTCAGCATATAATACTATATAAAAGTTGAGATGCTTCATATTCTAATTTTTTGTACTAAGTCTTTGATATCTGATGCGTATTGTACACCTACAGAACATACTCATTTGGACCATCCATATTTCAAGGACTCCGTAGCCCCGTGTGCCTAGTGGCTGTTGTATTACACAATGTAGGCAGAGAAATAGATCAGCAAGAAGCTATTAGAGATGCATTATTGAAAGGAAGGAAGGAAAGGCAGATTTACCTTGCAATTATAGTTGGGTTAATATTAAAACATTTGATCTTAGTCAGCTAGCCATATGGGTAAGTGAATTAGAACTCTGTTAAGAGGAGAGAAGTCCTTCTAGAATTAGGAAGTTACCATAGTTAGTCCACATAGGAATCAATAACAGATGTATATCATATGCCTACTCTGTCACAACCACTTTTGGAAGCAAATATCAGATCTTTATTTCTCATAGAGTTAAGCATATGCCATGAGTTTTCAAGAGATGTTTAGTAATGTCTTCCTTTTCTTGTGTTTAGATACATTAGAATTGTTTCTCATTGGCAATGATTCTTACCCTATGCCAATCGCTTTGAAAAAGAAAGGTATTGCTTGGTGGACAGATAAAAATGTGAAATTCAGAAATCCCCCTGGAGGAGACAACAACCTAGAAGAACGATTTAAAGGTAAAACATTCCTAATATCCCTTAAAAAAAAAAAAAATCTAGGAGTTTTTTGTTTTTGTTTTTTGTATCAGATGGAGTCTCACTCTGTGGCCAGACTGGAGTTCAGTAGTGCGATCTTGGCTCACTGCAACCTCTGCCTCTCAGGTTCAAGTGAACCTTTTGCCTCAGCGTCCCAAGTAGCTGGGACTACAGGCACATGCCACCACGTTCTACTAAAATTTTTTTGTATTTTTAGTAGGGAACGGGTTTCTCTTGACGTTGTGATCTGCCCACCTCGGCCTCCCAAAGTGCTGAGATTACAGGTGTGAGCCACTGCACCCAGCCATAAATTAGGAGTTTTAATGAAGTATTTTAAATTTTCTGTTTTTAGAATCTTGAAGTTTATGCTTTGAAAAACATTTTTCTTTCGTCAGCTTTATACCAAGTTAGTTAAATGTTGTAATGTACTAAAATTCTAAAGGAAATGTATACTTTTAATTATGAATTCAGTTTCTGTGGTGTCTTACAAGCATTTCAGTTTTAATATTTTAAAATTGCAGCAAAGCTTCTTTTGAATAAACCCCTATTTATTATCCAAATTTATTTGTTTCCCTGCCACTTAAATTGCACAATGTAATATTTTATCTCCTCATCCCTTCCCCATTCCTTTTAAGGTACAACAAAGCCTGTGAACTGGCTTAAACCAGTTTACATGCTAGATTCGGACCAAGATAATAATGGATTCATAAATGAGGATTTTATTGTTTGGATGCGTACTGCAGCATTACCTACTTTTCGCAAGTTATATCGTCTTATAGAACGGAAAAGTGATTTACACCCAACATTACCAGCTGGCCGATACTATTTGAATATCACATACAGTATCCTTTTTTGGCTGGGTATACAGATTCATAGAGCTTAAAAGGAGTCTAGTTCAACCTCGTATCTGTTGGGTGTCATATTACTTTGTGCTTTAGTTTTGGTGTCTGTTTTTACAAAGGCATGTGTGTTATATATGAGAATGTATTTTTAAATTTATATCTTCTAGAAGTGTCTTCAATTTGCATATACTTGGTACTAGTGTTTGAAGCATATTGCTTGGTAAAATTACTTAAAATGTAGGTGCTTGATTTGTTAACAACCTAGATATTTTTACAAGGGAGATTGTAATTGGACTTAATGTAAAGGCCAATAAGTGTACCTAAAACTAAGTGTTCAGTGGTACTGGGCTGTTTTAATATATATTTTTAGATATTAAAAATCAATGGATGTGTTGATTTGTATCAATGTAATTGTTAATGATTTTGATCTATTGATAGTATCAAAACATGGTATTATTAGCTGTATTTTTCCACATTAATAAGTTCACATTCAGTGCTGATAAATACATTTATTCCACTCTATGTGTTAACACTGTGCTGAGTATTTTCCACTCATTATTTAATTCAGGCAGCAGCATATCTCCCTATTATAGACCAGAGTATAGGAACATTGAGCACTTAGGTAACTTACCTGACATTACACAGGTAATGATAATAAGAGCTGGGGTTCATAACCAGGCTGTTGACTCCAAAGGCCATAGTTTTGCTCTCAGCTACCAACAAAGGCAGTGTCTAAGCTAGTTCACTCAGTTACACCAACTCATATCTGCATAGATGCAGTCTTTTTTAGGAGGAAAATACTCAGTAATTAATTTTATTCAAAACAGTCTTTGCATCTTTTAATCTAGAGCCTATATTTTACATACACTGTTAGTGAAGAGATTTTCCAGTATTAGAATCTTAAATGTTTGCTGATCTTTGCATTTTTAATTTTCATAATCCAAATGAGTCATAATCCAAATGCATTCTGATTTTTAAATGGATTAGTAAATGGTTAAATTAATAGACACAATTTCAAGATAAGGTTTTTTTGGATTCTAGTCTCTTGATGTTGCACCTGAATACACAGGTAAATATGGCCTGCTATTGCAGCTGAAAGTGACCCAAATTTTGAAACTAAATCCACATTGGAGCAATTTTGGACAGATGGACCCAGTTCAAGTGCTGGTAGAAAGTACATTATGCTGAGGAGGCAGTCAAACTAGAGAGCAGCTCTGTTAAAATTAGCACCCAGAAGATCTCTAGAGAGTAAGGGCAAATTTAGCAACCTGTAGCCTAGAGCACAATGAAGGGAAGTCTGTGGAGCACTGAGGAATTCTTAGTTGACAGATGATTTCCATACAGGAAGTCTGCAGCAGGGTCTCAACTTTGAAAGAACTATTTAAAGGAATGCCTGGTATATCGCAGATTGAGAGGACTTGGTAACACAGGAATTTGGACCTGTAAAACACCAAGGGTTAATTATCAAAATGAGGTATAAAGTGGTAATTATATGCTAGCATGAAGGCAGAAGCCTGTTTCTTTCAGGTTGGGATACTGAGAGAGAGCCTAACACGGCTAATTTGATACTGTATCCCACAGAATGTTGGGTTAGCTAGAGCTCTTCAAATCATTCCTGCCTTAGTTTAGGGTTGATTTAAGAAGTTAGAACCGATAACCGCTACACTATTTCGGCCGGGCGCGGTGGCTCAAGCCTGTAATCCCAGCACTTTGGGAGGCTGAGGCGGGTGGATCACGAGGTCAAGAGATCGAGATCATCCTGGTCAACATGGTGAAACCCCATCTCTACTAAAAATACAAAAAAAAAAAAAAAAAAAAAAAAATTAGCTGGGCGTTGTGGCGCGCGCCTGTAATCCCAGCTACTCGGGAGGCTGAGGCAGGAGAATTTCCTGAACCCAGGAGGCGGAGGTAGCGGTGAGCCGAGATTGCGCCATTGCACTCCAGCCTGGGTAATGAGAGCGAAACTCCGTCTCAAAAACAAAAACAAAAACAAAAAAAACCAAGAAGTTAGAACTGAACCTGTCATTTGGAGTTAGGGACCCATAGGGGGACCCATCTTCGGGGATGGAAAGTTGAAGAAACTAGAGAAAGAGATAGGGCCTAACCCTGGACTCAAAAGATGCTTTTGAAAAAGTTGTAAACTTTTTGCATGGAGGCTTGCAAAAGTCTCCTTCTGTCTTCTTTGCTACCTTATCTCTTGTAAAATCCTAGAACTGGTCCATGTAGATAATTCATCTAGTACACAGGTGCCCTATTTCCTAAATCTCCTTAACAACCCACCCTTGACTTCCACTGTTTTGGCTGTCAGCCGTGTCACAGCGTGAGTTTTGCCATTGCTCGAAATCAGCAAGTTAAAACTTTGTTATCATGCTCTTTGACCTTTTGGCCAGAGCCTTTTCATAGTCTCATAACTGCACTCTTGCTTCATGTGCTCTTTGAGCTCACAGAGACTTCTAGTCCTTGATTTTCCATCTTCCCCTGGTCTGTCAGTCTCCTCTTCTTGTGTGGGCTTCATTGTTTATTGAAGTATTTTTTTCACATTGCATTCCTTTGAGGTCTTTTGCACCTCCCATGTAATGAGAGCAAAAGCGCCTAGAAACTGCATGACCTTTAAGTTTGTTTGGTTTGGTAAAATATTTTGACTTTTACCACTAACATTTAATTTGCCAAATCAGTCTTTCAAGATAATAATACAATTTTTATTTGTGATTTAGAACATAGGAGTAAGGTACCTGTATATCCTAGAATTACACAAATGAATTACTAACAATTAAATGGCAGCTTTTAAAATTGTATTTTAAACATCAAATAACCAGAGATGGAAAAATCTTCCTATACCCTCTTCAGATTACCCTGTACATTATTTTGATGGACGCAAACGGATGATCTTGAGCACTATTTCATGGATGGGAGGAAAAAATCCATTTTTGGGGATTGCTTACATCGCTGTTGGATCCATCTCCTTCCTTCTGGGAGTTGTACTGCTAGTAATTAATCATAAATATAGAAACAGTAGTAATACAGCTGACATTACCATTTAGTTTTATATCATGAAAGTAAATTATCTGCATGTGCATCAAGGCCAATTCTATTCAACCTATCTTTTGAATGCTGATGTCTGGTTATTATGTCATTTTGAAGTTGGCACATAACTTTAAAAAACAAACAAACAGTCTTTGTCCTTTGCTTCTTCCCTATGGATGACTTCTGAAAATATATGACGGGTATAAAAAAAATTAGCTATATTGATCATAGCAACACTGTAACTGCTGAAATGGCATTCTAATGTTTGCTTTTTATTGGGACAAGTCACATGATGCATAGAGCCTCTTTCATGTGGCTTGTGTCTACTGCTTAAATGTTTATGCTGTGTTGGTGATATTATATTGACATATGATGATGTATATGTGTATGTATTTTGTGGAGAAAGGGATTACATGAGTATAATGATTTGCTAATCTTTCAGGATTCAGAGAAAGATGAAGAAAGACTGTATCTAAATAAAACACTTCATCATTTTCATGTGTGTAAATGCTTAAAGTACCAACTTTGTTGAGATGGTTCATGTATCCAATTTATTCAGTACATACAGTTCTTTGTCAAGCTTAGCTTTGATTTCAAAGGACATGCTTACTTTGTCTAGCGTAGGAATTAATGCTCATATCTTCAGTGGTTGGGTAGGTCCTGCATAGGAGAATTTAAAAATTCTTCTTTAGTTTGGTTAAATGTTGCAGTTAGGAACCCCAACTGACTTGGAATGTTTTTATATGTAACTATTTCCCTTGAAGCTTATACTTTTTAAGGGAAGAAAGAGTACAGCTGAGTTGGGAAAACTGCTTGGCAGACCTTCATCTTCTGCCTCAATTGTAAACCACATGTAAATGCTTAATGGAGACTGTTTGCATTCTTGTGGTATTTAACATTCAGAAAATTACTTCAGCTTTGGAAATACCTCAGGCTGTTTTTTTATTTTGCAGGTAAGTGTTTTAACTTAAGTACTAATATTCCAGAAATTTTTGAAAGCAGAAACCTTAATTTCGTGTGTAATTCATTCCACTTTTGCACATAGGTCAAATAGCAATGTGTACGCACATTCTCTTTAGTTAAGGCACCAATTGTTTTGGTTGGTTTTCCTAAGATATACTTTAAAAAGATGTTCTATAAATTTCCTAATTAAATTATGGGGATTTTGGAGTATGTACATGATAAATTATAATATATATATGTGGTTGAAGTTATTTTACTTTTTACTAACTGGAATTATTTTAATATTCCTTATTGAATAAATGCTGTAACTTTTTGTTATGGAACTTAAAGTTCCAGTTAAAAACAATTTTTCCACATGCATGAAAATGTATTAATCAGAGGTGGCTTAATTACCTTGAAATTGCTTTTTTTTTTTTTTTACTGAAATAACTCATGTTTGTGTAGAAGAATGCCTGTTTATTCAGAGTTTATATTTTCCTTCAGTTATATTTTAAATCAAAAGATCTGGGTAATGTATACTTTAGATTAATATATGCTTTTTAAAAAAACAAAAAACCATGTTAGGGTTAATAGTGGAAATGTGCCACACTTGTCAAGTTTTATATAACATATGAAATTCAGTTAAAAGAATGTGTATTTGATAATGACTTTTAACTGGTAAAAATATTACTTGCACAAAGTACTTGATGTATGGTTATCCTGAAATTTCGGAGTATATGGTGTGCTCTTTGTCTAAAAATAGTCTTTGTTTTGTCAGTCCTTTGGAATGTTATTTATTCTGAAAATTGTCCCTCTTGCACTTGGCAGTTTATTTTCTGGGATACATTGTTGGGGGAGATGAGTTTCTGCCAATCTTTCCAGATTGAGTCTGTGCTGTTTAAGGAGGACTACCATCCTGCAGTTCTTTTCTAATTGAGGGACAGAGGATGTCGCAAAAGAAAGGTTGAAAAGCCCTTTCAGCACTTTCTCATCTATGGAGAAGATGGAATCTTAAAATACATTTTGAGTTTTATCTGTTTTACGAATACATTGATAGCCTAAGTTCCTCCTGTTTTCTGCTGTATGGTCTCTGTGAAACATGGAGGGAGGGATGACATTTCTTTTTCATATAGGCTTTATGGTTAAATGTCATAGTCAGCTTTCAAAGAATCATGTGTTTTAAATGTACCCTGCTTAAGTAGAAGACATTGAAGGATGCATTAATTTTCAGGAACTATTTTGAATTGTGAAAAGATTCCCATTTGAAGAAATTATTCATTAAGTAAAAGCTAAGAAATTTCATTGAAATCATAAGGCATTTTAAGGATAAATTGATAAAAATAGCGGTGTACTAATTAATAGAAAATTGAAAATCAAGAGAAGAGTCAAGTGCATATCATTTGTTTATTGGCTAGTGAGTTTCTTTGTAACTTTGTTTTATTAAATGATAACATTCTGTTAGTGTGTCCTATGTTAATAAAAATGAATAAAATTAATTTTGCTACGTTCAGGTGTCTTGATAAAGTAACAGTGCCCCAGTGTTGTTGCTTATGTTTAACACTGAATTTTAACACAGGGTCAGTAAGTCCAGGTTTTAACTTCTTCATGCCTGGATGGGAGAAAATGTAATTCATTGCTAAATCAATTCATATTTGTATTAATTACTGTGATAATATTAACCATCTGTTCTTACCAGGAATTGGTCAGATTGTCATCTGAGCTATAGTTACACTGGCTAAGTTTGGTATTAGATCAAGGGGAATGTCCAGTAAACAGAGAGGTAAGGATGATGAAAATAATGAAGTGGGGTACACAGGAAAAACCCGACAAGTAAGGAGGAGCAGCTGAGAGACAGGGTCAGCGAATGTGGTTCAGCCTGCTACCTCTTGTCTTCATAGAAACATTGCCTTAGAATTATTGTATGACACTTTTTTTGTTGGTTAAGCTGTAAAGTTTTGTTCTTTGTGAACCTGGGTATTTTGAGGGGAGGGTGGAGGGAGTAAGGAAGTGATCCTTTTACAAGAATTTTGATGCGTAAATGTCTGTTGTAGAGTTTGGATGATCTAGTAAAGTGTTTTAGAACCCCTTTTTATCCCATGCACCATTCAGTAAACATAAAAGTCACAATTCTGCTAATGTCATTTGGAACTTCACAATAAATACCTTGTCTAAAAACAAATCAGACCATGGTGGCCTTATTTCCTTTAATATATCTATAACATTTATTAAAGTAATGTGTACACAGTTTTAAAAAATAAAATAGTAAGTCCTAAAGGCTTTATGATGAAAAATAGTAGTCCCTGCCTGAACTTTCCTTACCTCTCAGGGCAATCACTTTGACTCCAGAAGTTGTTTCTTCTGTTATTTATCTTAGTGTAGCTAAAGAGTATGCTATTCTGTTGTTTGATTTAACAATTTTAGACAATACTGTCTTCTCGGTAATATTACATGATGATTTAGCTCTCTAACATACATACTTTGCCTTCTATTATATAGTTACATCATATTTAATAAATATTAGCTATTATTTAATTATGACTATCAATATTGTATACTCTTGGGCAACAGTAACATGATTTTCTTTTGCATAATTTTATTTTCCTGGAATTAATAATTGCCTCATTTTAAACATTTATATAGCTTTCTACAAATGTACCTTAAAAATTTTCCAACTTCTCTGTCAGGTCTGTCATGTTCCCATCACTAGTTTGAAGGGTTTTTGTACCCCAGTCAGATAGTGTCCCTGTTTTTACTAGAGATGTCTCTGCTGCAGTTGTCCTTCTATGCCAGTCTGCATGGTTGCTCTCTCAGCCTATTATACAGTGATGATTCCATGACCTCCCTTTGTCATCCTCCTGTGTTGGACTTCCCATTTCCTAGTTTACTTGGTTTACTAGAGCACTTCCTAAAACACTTAGAGTTTCCTAAGAAGGTTACATTTTCTGAGTTCTTAAATGTCTAAAACACCCTTTTCCAACCTCACATTTCATTGATAGTTTGACTACACATACAATTTTAAGTTAAAAATAAGCTTCTCTCAGCATCTTGAAGGCATTGCTCCGCTCTTGTCTAGCTTCCACATTAATTTTGAGAAATTTGAACTTAGTCAGATGTTGAACTTCTAGATTGGTGCTTAATTTTCTTCTCTTTTTCTCCAGTTGTTTTGATGGTATTATCTCCTTTCTAGAAAAATTTACATAATTTGATCTTGCAACATTATCTTATGTTGAATCTGTAGCATATTTCTAAAAATATTTTACTTTCTAGAACTCCTTTTATTTCTATTGTGTTTCCAAAATATCCTTAGTTCATAGAAAACATACCATATTTTTCTGAGGATATATATATATATATGAATATTACTACTTTTGTTTACTGCTCTATTAATACCATGGTTTTTTTGTTGCTATTTGTAATTTATTTTTTCTCTTGTATATATAGGTGAATTTCCTCTTAATTCTGGCTAGTCTTGGCAACGTATTAGTAGATCCCAAAGCACTATTTGAAAGCTCTGTGTTTGTGGGCAGTGCTTGACAAATGATGCGCTTCACTAGCAAAGTTGCAATTCGGTGAATTATGTGTTACTCTATTCATGACTTTTTAAAAAATTAGAAAAATAAATAGTTTTAGGTCAGCATCCATAAGTAGACCTTTTTTTTTTTTATTGAGATGGGGTCTCGCTTTGTTGCTAGTCTGTAGTGCAGTGGTCTGATGCTCACTGCAACCTCCGCCTCCCAGGTTCAAGCAATTCTCCTGCCTTAGCCTCCCAAGTAGCTGGGGCTACAGGTGTGCATCACCATGCCCAGGCAATTTTTGCACTTTTAATAGAGACAGCATTTCTCCATATTGGCTGCGGCCTCCCAAAGTGCTGGGATTAGAGGCGTGAGCCACCGCACCCGGCCAAGTAGACCATATTTTGAGAAGCACTGTGTTAACGGAGTCAGTGGTAGGGAGCCAGTCTTTTCCTTTGGCTAGAGATCTTTTCTCTGGGGATATTCATTTTCTCTAGGGAAGAATTTTTTAGTCTTCTGCAGAAGGAAGGGGACTTCCTTGTCCTCCATCTCATCTTCTGATTTCCACTTCACACATATTTTCTTTTATCTGTCCCTCTCTGTATTTCTTCCATGTAATTCTCTCCCATTTATTCCTCCAGATAAAAATTCTGTGGTCTTCTACCTGTGGGAGAAAGTGATGGAAGTGAGAGATCACATTTTTATGGCTTGAGGTGTAGGGCAGAGGACTTTGGGGATCATGCCATTCTGTTGTATATGATTTCAACTAGTCATTTTTAGGCCTAGACTCTCTGTTGTAACTTTTACCTCCAAATCTGAGCTGCTCAGGGGTTGTGGAATCAGTTAGAATGCTTCTCACTGGTATCCACCTTGTAATCCCTCTAGATTGCAGCTTTCTCTGTTCAGCTCAGTCATATTTCATCTGCCTTCAGTTTTCCAGAAATTTGTTGAAATCATTTGTCTGTTGCTGCCTCCTCTCTATTCAAATTTTGGGCTCATATCTTTTAAAATTGTTTTTCAGATTATCATATGGTAAATTTTACTTTTATTTTAGTAGAGTTTTTTGAGTTTTAACACCAGAGTTAAAGAGAAGTACCATCACTCCCCAAAAAACTCCTTATACTACCCCTTTATAGTCATTAACCCTTTCCCCACTCATAACCCCCAATTTGTTTTCTATCCCAATGATTTTATCTTCTGGAAAGTTGTAAATAGAATCATTACATATGTAACCTTTGAAACAGGCTTCTTTTCTTCAGTGTAATGCCTCTGAGATTCATCCAGTATGATGTGTCTTACAGATAATTTTTCTCATACCTTTTTAATTTCTTTGATTTTACTGTAGTGGGAAGGAGGAGAGAGAAACTTGTGGGGCCAATCTACTATCTTAAATCAGAAACACCTTGAAGCAAATACACCCTTCACCTTTTGGTGGTTTTATAATGTTTTAAAAAATCTTAAACGATAAACTTGTTATGTGCTTTAAATGGTATTAATAGGAACTTGTCTGTTTGCATATCACAGGCTTTTCTGTCTAGGGCAATGTCGAAAAAGACTGAACTCCCCTTATATCCATTTCATTTCAAGCATGTTATGTCACTTTATTTCAAGCACAGAAATACAGATGTTAGTTTTAACAAATATTTATCAAATTGCATTTAACTCCCCCTCCCCCACCCAGAGTATCAGTGGTATAAAATAACCCCAGGGTGTGTTGTCTTTCCTTTTCACAACAAAGCTTGTGAGACAGTATGTGGTTTGTATTTACTTGTCATCTTCAACTTCAGTCAGGGTCAGACTTTCACCTCAAGATGACACTGTTGTACTCTGTTGACTGTCACCCATGTCTGAAAGATTCAGTAGAAAAAGTATGGGTTTCAGAAGTAGGCTGATACAGCTCCTCTACTTATACAATTTACCTTACAATTGTTTAATCTTCTAAGTCATTTACTATTTCCTTGTCTGTAAAATAGGGACTTTAGTACCCATATGACCGATTTTGTTTTGAGCAACAAAGAAAGTGACAGATAAAAAGCATTTAGCACAAAGCATAGAAAAGTAGACATTCAACGAATAATTCTCATTCTTTTCTGTCAAATCAAGTGAACTCTTAAATTGATCTTTTTGTTCCATTTGATAGGTATTTTCCTTCCTTCTCTATATTTAAGCATGTGGCTTATATGAATGACTCTCCTGATTCTTTCCCCCTTATCTATTCCTTAGTCACCTTTGTATATTCCTTAATTATTGCTAACCATATAAAATGTTGAGCGTCCTTTGAGATTGTGTTCTGTGCCTTTAAGTTACAGTTCTCCCGAAACAATCTTAAGTACCTTATTGTTAGATATAGTGAACTTCAAGTTTCTTTTCAAAGAATTAGTATGTCAGTACATTCAGCTCTCTTATTTTTTTTTTTTTTAATTTTTTATTGGATTTTAGGTTTTGGGGTACATGAGCAGAGCATGCAAGACAGTTGCGTAGGTACACACATGGCAGTGTGCTTTGCTTTTCTTCTCCCCTTCACCCACATTTGGCATTTCTCCCCAGGCTATCCCTCCCCACCTCCCCCTCCCACTGGCCCTCCCCTTTCCCCCCCAATAGACCCCAGTGTTTAGTACTCCCCTTTCTGTGTCCATGTGTTCTCATTTTTCATCACCCACCTATGAGTGAGAATATGCGGTGTTTCATTTTCTGTTCTTGTGTCAGTTTGCTGAGGATGACGTTCTCCAGATTCATCCATGTCCCTACAAACGACACACACTCATCATTTCTGATTGCTCCATAATATTTCATGGTGTATATGTGCCACATTTTTCCAATCCAGTCTATTATCAATGGGCATTTGGGTTGATTCCAGGTCTTTGCTATTGTAAACAGTGCTGCAATGAACATTCGTGTACATGTGTCCTTATAGTAGAACGATTTATAGTCTTTTGGATATATACCCAGTAATGGGATTGCTGGGTCAAATGGAATTTCTATTTCTAAGGCCTTGAGGAATCGCCACACTGTCTTCCACAATGGTTGAACTAATTTACACTCCCACCAACAGTGTAAAAGTGTTCCTTTTTCTCCACATCCTCTCCAGCATCTGTTGTCTCCAGATTTTTTAATGATCGCCATTCTAACTGGCGTGAGATGGTATCTCAATGTGGTTTTGATTTGCATCTCTCTGATGACCAGTGACGATGAGCATTTTTTCATATGATTGTTGGCCTCATATATGTCTTCTTTTGTAAAGTATCTGTTCATATCCTTTGCCCACTTTTGAATGGGCTTGTTTGTTTTTTTCCTGTAAATCTGTTTGAGTTCTTTGTAAATTCTGGATATCAGCCCTTTGTCAGATGGGTAGACTGCGAAAATTTTTTCCCATTCTGTTGGTTGCCGATCCACTCTAGTGACTGTTTCTTTTGCCGTGCAGAAGCTGTGGAGTTTGATTAGGTCCCATTTGTCTATTTTGTCTTTTCTTGCCAATGCTTTTGGTGTTTTGTTCATGAAGTCCTTGCCTACTCCTATGTCCTGGATAGTTTTGCCTAGATTTCCTTCTAGGGTTTTTATGGTGCCAGGTCTTATGTTTAAGTCTTGAATCCATCTGGAGTTAATTTTAGTGTACGGTGTCAGGAAGGGGTCCAGTTTCTGCTTTCTGCACATGGCTAGCCAGTTTTCC